CACACACACACACACAAACATGTTTATTCGCTTTACACGAATTTCAATATAAATCCGTCGCAAATTTTTAGGTTGGGTTTTTTAGAGATGATGTTTTTACGTGATCTTTTTTACACCAGACCTAAATTGCGCTGCAATATTACTTCGTGCGTTTCCAAAAATCTGGGGGAGTGGAGTGGTATAAAAAGCTGGAGGTGGGGGCTAAAGGGTGCAAATAATTAATGTGTCAGAAAAGTTTTCTTGAAAAAACAAAACAAATCAACACCCCCTCCAAAAAAAAACAACCCAACAACAAACAAACAAACAAACAAACAAACAAACAAACAAACAAACAAACAAGCCAACAGCTGTGTTTTACAAGCTCACAACATTGCTATTATAATCCGTTGCTCACAATTTCTTTGAGTTGAAAGATGCATTGAGAACCGTGACGTCGCTATGGTTTCTAAAATACTCATTTATTTCCATGGAAATTTTGTACGTTTTCATCTTCCTCACACGAAAACTTTTTAATTTTTGGTGCCGAATTTTCATAGAACCAAAACCCGAAAAGTGCAAAAGATTAGTAACTTTTTGACGGATAGATCTAGATATTTCCATTCTTGGGAATTACCAGCTTCAATCTGACATTTACGGCTGTTTTGACTTACTAAGACCATGAGGTCGGAAACCAAATTAAAGTATCTAGATCTAGATCTATCTGTTCTATCAAAATAGAAAATATTGTACTAAGTCGTTATCAAGATGTTAAAAAAATTGCTTTTGAAAAAGCTTGACGTGTTGAGAAACACAACTTTTTAACATCAAATGATTTCTCAAAACTAAATCTAGATCTGGGTGCTGGGCAGAGAGAATTTCGTCATTCTCAGTTAGCGTGTTTTAAAGCTGGGAGTTGTATAAAGTTGTCGTGTTGTAATAAACGGTAAAATTACTTCAATTATCAGATTTTTGTTTGTTTGTTGTTGTGGTTGCTGCTGTTGTTTATTGCTCTTCTAGTTGTTTGTTTGTTTGTTTGGGGTTTTTTGACATTTGTAAAACCGTAATTAACAACATACAGTAACAATTGGTCTTTGAACAATTAGAATTTAAGTTGGTTAGAACAATCAAACTGTGACTTGTAAAAGTCATCATATTTAAAGGAAAACTAGATTAGTATTTCATTAAAACATATATGTGAGGCAGCATGGTGGAATCAGGCTCTCGTCAATTCTTGGGCATGTAGAGTTATTGGTATCATCTTAAAGCTTGTTCACTTGTCTTTATTTGGATGGAAAAAATATCCATTTATCTTGAATACAAGTTAAGATATTTGCGAATGAAGGAGGTGGGGGTCACCTGTTTTGAGAGGTAAAATTAATGAGAAAATGGCCGCCAAAGATTAGTAATTTCCAGGGCTTAAGATTCCGTATTAAAAGAATTTTTTTTTTTTTTTTGTGCCTTTAATCAACGGTTTTCAGAAAAATCCACACAGAAGTCAGTTCTTTAATGCGCATGAAAAGTGTCGAGCCAAAAAAGAAAAATTTGATAAAAATTCACAAACCTGCGGAAAAAGCAAGTTTCTTCACTTTGATTATTTTGACGAGAGCCTGATTCCACCACGCTGCCTCACATATGTTGTTTTCCTTTTGAACACATGGAGCCCGTACAATGATAATTATGAGTTTCAAAACTAGATATAATTTGTGTCTTAGAGAAAAGAAGCGGTGAATAGTAAAGTCAATAATAAATTGTCAAAACAATGTAGTAAATATTAATATTTTAATGAATAATTACACTCTTCTAACACATCTAATTCTTTTGAACACATGAAACGTAGATTAACAGCACATGATAGTCCAGCTTTGATTGTCATCTTATTTGAAGAAGAAAGAAGGTAACAAACAATTTCTTTTTTTGCGTCTGTTTGTGTTTTTAACAAATAAAAATTTGATTATAGATATAATCAGCATGCAATTTTGTGTTTACGAACAAAGCTAATCATCTAATGTTTCCGAGAAGTATTAATGATTAATTCTTTCTCTCTCTCTACTCACCATTTTGGAAAGTTTAGTTGTAGCAGTCCCCGAAACCAAGAGAAACACACAGCACTGAGCCTCACTAACTACAAGAAGGAGCCGGAGGAAGAAGAAAGCACGCCAGATCTCAGGCAGTCCTGACCGACAGAAGGTGAGCTACAGGCCTGCTCAAACACACTCACTCTCACACACACACGCACACACCGCTCCCCTTGTTGCTTAGCCTACTTTTCCCCCCTTTTTTTCTTTGCTTCCTTCTTACTTCTTCTCTCGGCTCGCGTGCGTTTCGCGTGGCTGCCGTGTGTGCGTGAGTGTGTGT